GAAAAAGATGCGTGGAAAGATCGATGACGGGCGTCGAGTATCTGATGAGCGCAAAATCAATTAACATCGGGCGGTGTTGTCCATCGCCTTCTGTCTTGAAGAGAATATTGTTCAACGTAAAATCACCGTGACACAACGTGGCCAACGGTTCCAGTGGCTGCACCGTCTTCATCATCACTTCGTCGAACGCGTTCGAAAGTAAGGCTTCCATCTTATCGCAGAAAACTGTATCATGGCCTTGACTGCGAAGATATTCCACCGCGCGTACCGACTGAATGTTGACGTAAAACTCGTACATATTCTCCGCTCTCTTTGTGTACCTAATTTCTTGAATTCGCGCCACAATGTCGAAGAATTTTTCCGGCTGCATCTTCTTCATGACATATCCCTTGCCATGAAATCGTCCCAACTCGCGCATCGCCGCTAATGTGTATTCAAATGGAGGATTATATGCATTTGGACAAGAATAATATCCTCGTCCGTTGACATTTTCTAAGGCGATTACAGAGTCGCTGGATGGCCGTTCTTTGGCGTAGAAACATCTCGCGTAGATCTCGCCCGGTCGAGTGTACATCTGATAAAACAAGATCTCGTTGTGAAATTGAAGGTCCATACAAGCTAGCTGACTAAAGCCCGCCATGGGTCTCTTCAGTATCATTGATAATTTCTCGTTTCGTCCGTTTATCTTGTTCTCAAACTGCAGACATACACGATAGATGTTGGACGTAATAAAAATGTCAGTAGATTCAAGTAGCTCATATCGTACTTTGTCGACGTCCGGTCCAAGATTTTCAATTATCTTCGGCATCACCACGTTGATCCATCTTTGGAAATCTTCATGGGACATTTTATTTGAATATGCGATTCGTGTTCCAAATAAAAATAATTTAATATACGTAGGCTAAACTGATCAAGGTGAACTTATATATTATTATTTATGTATTATTATTACGACAACTAATCCGGTATTATGATATAACAACTTCCCGTAAAGATTAGTTTATAATTTTGTTTTATGCAAATAAAAATTGCAAATGTGACGTTAACGTGGAGAGTAAAGAACTAACTAATATTGGTACTTCGCAATACTGTAAAATAGTCAAACTAAATATTTCGACGTATACTTTTTGCAAAGAGAATGCTAAATAACAATTTGTTATCAGCTGGCGACTCTGCATGATAATAAATAATTGACCTATTTAAAATATATATATATATATGTACGTTGCGGAATGCGAAAGTCATGGACAGATGATAATTGTTCGAAATTGACATGTATAAGACGAATATATTTTGTATTTTTAAAATTAATTGTAAGCTACAATTTTTCAAAAAAATGTCATATTTTATAATTTAAATTACGTACAAAGTGACAAAGTCAAAATGATACAGACAAAAAAATAACATTGAGTTTTTTATAATAATAATAATAATAATAGTAATAATGATATACTACTCTACACATTAGCAGTTATAAAAACTTATATTTGATTTTCTCCCCAAAATTATGAGAAATACTTTATTGTATTGTGTCTTATGAAACTGGACAAATGGCTTCAAATATAAGCTTGCTGTTCCTGCAGTATTAATCTTTGAAAACTTGTAAAAGCTGTCTTTGCTATAGAAATTAAAGTTTTGCCAATATTATGCACGGAGAGAATTTTTTTAAAATTTACCCTGCAAATCATGTTAATTGTGGGACAATATAATATTTAGGCCAATTTTACTGTAAAATCTTATTGTTGTGCATAGTAAAATTTATTGTAGTGCACTGTAAAATTTGCCTTAATACTATAT